AGATTTTATGGATGATTTACAGTTTTTGTTACGTAAGCCAAAATTTTCCCCATTATTATATCCTTTAAATTTAAAAATTGTGGATATTAATTTGGTTTGTTGAATGCATATGAATTTGCTGCATATTTGGAGCAGACCCAAGGTAAAATCCCCACCACAAGATACTTTGCAGAAGCTGGAAAAGGATGAAACTTTTATGGAGTTTTCTCAAGAGAGCTCCATGTTTGTCTTTAAGCTGGGTTTGACCAAGCTCCAGTGTTGCCTATTGATGAACGGTCTTGTCTTTGATTCTGTTAAGGTATCTTTGTTCGTTTTCTGCTTTTATCTATCTCCTTCTATTATCAGTGTCTGTTGTATCTTTCCCACAATGTAGTGTTACTATTTCTCAATTTCAAGTTTATAATATGTTTAGATTGTTTACAGTTGGCATGACATGTTGAGTCAAATAAATTTTTAACAGGCAGGATAAAATCTTTCATTCTGGAAGTTAAAATGTTCATTTTTAGTCAAATAACAGAGATTCAAAGGGATTACACATATGAGATGATTCCCTTCAATTTTAAATAAATTTTTTTTTGTATTTTTTTTGAATCTTTCTGTGCACTAATTGGTTTTGAGCTAACATAGTTGAGTAACCCATCACCAATGTAATAAGATGCTGGTTCTTTCTTTGTTCAGGAAGAAACTCTTATTAATGCCATGAATGATGAGCTTCCCAGAATACAGGAGCAAGTTTACTATGGTCACATAAATTCTCGTACTGATGTGCTGGACAAATTCCTATTAGAAAGTGGTGTTACTCGCTACAATCCGCAGGTAATACATTCTTTAAGATGTTTGTGAAATTTTGCATCTGCGTTGGTTACTGTCTTTGGTGTAATTTTCAAGTTATATGTATTACTCATGGTGTTGTATCAAATTCAGATAATTGGTGATGGTAATGTCAAACCAAGGTTCGCAAAGCTGGCTTCATCCATTCTTGGAGAGGAATCTGTGCTAAATGATATGAGCTACTTGCATTCTCCTGAGAGTAAGAAGAATCTTGTTGAAATCATGAAGCTAATGTCTACAATTTTCTCAAATCATTATGCTTATCATTTTCCATATCTAATTATTTCAGCTCTGGATGATGTGAAGCCTGTGACTCATCTTCTTGCTGTTGATGTCACATCAGTGAAAGGAATGAAATTGCTTCATGAAGGAATACGTTACCTGGTTATTCTTTGTGATTAATTTTTTGAATCTCATTTCTATTATTGTTTTTCCTTTTTCTTGTGTTAGTTACATTTCCATTTTGTTAGTTATCATTTTCTTCCGTTCAGTGAAAAGACAATGCTTTTCCTCAAATCATTAAGTCATATTGTCATTGCTATAATGTTCTTGCAACGTTGGCATTGTGATACAGATTGGAGGGTCTAAAGGTGCTCGCTTGGGAGTGTTATTTAGCGGTGGTCAGAACCATGATTTAAATTCTCTTCTTTTCCTTAAGATTTTTGAGACCACCACATCTTCATATAGGTTTGTGTAGTCTGAAGTTTATATTGGTTCTATATAATATTGTAGAAGTGGATTATGTTAGTATACTTTACATGTTAACTCTTATAATGTCATGCAGTCATAAGAAAAAGGTTTTAGAATTTCTGGACCAGCTATGCTCGTATTACGAGCATGTCCGTGGATCTCCTATAAGTGGTGAAGGCAACCAACTGTTGATTGATAAAGTTTATGAACTTGCTGAGTTAAATGGACTATCATCCAAGGACTATAAATTGTCTCTTTCCAAATTTTCAGATGAGAAAATGAAAAGATATTTTAACAAGGTATATGAAAGAATATTTTAATAAGGTACCATAGCAAGTTACTTACTGATCGGCTGTTGAAAGTTGATTCTGGCATTTCTGCTGAATTCTCTACCTTTTTGTTGATTTGCTGATGTAAGTCCAATGCTGTCTTTGCTTTCTTGGAATGCAATTGTAAATCCACATTTAGTTTAACTAATAGGTTTTGTAAATTTATGAAGAGATGGTAACAATTACCTCATATGGAACTCAACTGGATAGAAATTGAATTGCATTGTTTTAATTTAATGTTAAATTCTATATGAGGTCAATTTTTATAATTTTACTGAGGATTATCCCATCTTCTGGTTGAATGAGTATAATTTAGCAAATGAATTCCAACAAAATTCTTATTTCTTCCAAACATAAGATTACGTGTTATTAATTGAGATTGATTGGATGACTTCTGGCATTCTGCATTTTCGATTTTGGTGCTTTTCTTTAATTCTATGTAATACTATGCAGGTAACACGGTTTTTATCTTGGCAAATTGGGCTTGAATCTTGCGCTAATGCGGTTATTACTAATGGAAGGGTGCGTCTTATCGTATTTTTTAAGTTTATGTGGGATTGCTAAAAATTTCAAATTTGGGATTGAGTTCAAATTCATTATTTACTTCTTTTAAATGAAAAAAGATCTATTATTTGTGGTAGCTTGAGTTTTGGAGGTCATCAAGTTTGTAGGTTATTTTCTCAAACATTTACCTACATCTATCTTAACTTGGCATCTTATAGGTGATGTTCCCAATTGAGGAAAGCACATTTGTGAGCCATGATTTGCACCTTCTTGAATCAGTTGAGTTCAAGCATAGAGTAAAACACGTCAAAGAAATTCTTGAAGAGGTCGAGTGGCAAAACATAGATCCTGACATGTTAACAAGGTGCATATTTTTTGTGCTTTTTATCTTTCCTTTATGTTTCTTCTTTACTATCAACCTTAGGGTAGATGGAAAAGTTCCTTGGAGTTTTCACCCAGAGAAACTTTAACAGTAACTATTAAAAGTTTATGTGAATGTATGTGATAAACGTATATGTGTTAAACCTCTTTTTGAGAAGGAGTTCATCTGCAATTAACAGATTTATTTAACCTTATAAATACCAAATCGGTTATGGATTTTTTGTTTACCTGGCTGATTCTTTTTCAGTCAATACTCATCCTGGACCAGGAACATTTTTTTGTTAATATATCTCTCTAGTTTCTTACAAACTTTGCATCAGATAAATAAATTGTTTGCTAATGCAAAAATTGAAGTTCAAGATCAAATAGATGCTTGCAAAAGCAGTATTTCATTACTATTTAGTCTTGGAATCATGAGTTATGTAATACATTTTTTTTTTTTACAATTTGTTTTCTGAGTTACAAAATTCAAGACATGGTTTCTAATGAAATAACTATAGAAATGGCAAAATTTCTTCTTTCTTGTCTTGCTTTTGGGAGCATAAAAAACAATGACTTAAAAGATACTTCCATTTAGGAGAAGTGAAAACATAAAAAAATAGTTAATGCATTTTTGTTCTTATTCTTCCGTAGTGTCTGCTATTATTATATGCTTAGCTTAAGTAAAACAAATTTCGTTCTTATTAAGCTTAGTAAGTTCAATTTCCCGACAAAAAATTGTTATAGATCCGTTTAAGGAAACTGACAAACTAGCATGGTAGAAGAATATTCAATAAAGGTTTTTACTGTACTTGCATCTTCACTACATTTCATCTCTACACATGGATAGTGGTCGAGCTCTTTCCACAACCCTTTCACCAATTAAAATAATGTTAGAAGGTTTTTAACAGTGAGCCAATTTCCTTTAACATGTCTGTTACATATTTTGGTTGGCAAATGAATGTTCATGATTTTGAATAGGCCAATTCTGTTCTGAGTAAACATTTTAAATTTCCCAATTCTTTGATTTCAATCTCTCTAGGCAGGCATTGCTTGAGAGCTACTGTTTCCTATTTATATTCCCTGTAACATATGCCAGACAGACAGTGACTTCCCCTGATTTTAAATTTTTAATGAATAGGGAGTTGTCTCGTTGGCATTGCCTGTGCCCCATGTATAGAATAACCTTTGCAATCTATTAAATCATGTTTGAGGAGACTGTTTAAACCCATGTAGTGCCTTTTTCAATTTGCATACTTTGTTCGCTCTTTCTTTCTTAGTAAACCTGGGAGGAATCTCCATATAAATTTCTTTTTCAAATACTCCATGCAGGAAGTCATTCTTCATATTAAACTGCTGCAATTGTCTAGCTGTTATGGATAATGGGACATGTACCGTATTCATCTTTGCAACTGATACCAATGCTTCTTGGTAGTCAATCCTATATGTCTGGGTGTACTTTTTAGTCACCAATCTAGTATTGTATCTCTTTAATGTTCCATAAGTCTTGTATTTGATAGTGAATACCTATTTGCAACCCAACGATCTTTTACCTTTGGGCAAGTCCTCTACTTTCTTGTTTGATTTTTTCAAGTGTTTGCACCTTCATAATATTTTCTGATTCTTTATTGGTTAAAGTCTCAGATAATGTTTTAGGAATAAATACTGTATTCAAACTAATAAAAAACTTTTTGTAAAGTGAAAACATTTTTCAAGGGATATAAAAATCGAGATAGGATAGAGGGGACATTTAGTGCATTCGCGTGTCCCCCCCCTTTTTTTAAGTGCAATAGATTTATCCATATTAGAATAAATATTATCCTCAGAGCTTACCTCATTTTCAGCACTCAATTCAGATTCTTGAACTTGTTTTAAATCAAATTCTTGGTTCTTCCTTCTGAATACAATTGGGAGAACCATGCGACTTGTTTAGGCTGAGATTCAGGCTCATTTTTTGGAGGTATGAGTACATTCACTTTAAGGGTATTAAGTTTCTCTTGGGGTAGTCATCGTAGAGGTTGTATTTTTTATAGGTAAAAGAAGATAAAAAAAGGGGTCAAAAGAGGGTTGATTGTTATTATCTTCTAGTATAATATCCTTCCCCTGAAGATAAGATTTATTAAAGAAGGATTCTGTCTCAAAAAAGTGACGTCATGCTATACAAAGAATTTTTTGGTTATGGTGGTAACATCTGTATCCTTTCTGGATGGACGATATTCAACAAAAAGAAACCGAATGAGGTAAGGTTTCTGCTGGTATTGTTCCTTTAGAGGGTGTAGTTTTTACAGATAAGGGAAGATAAAAAAAGGGGTCAAAAGAGGGTTGATCCTTCTTATCTTCCAGTATAATAGGCTTCCCCTGAAATATAAGATTCTTCAAAGAAGGATTATGTCTCAACAAATGTGACATCAGCCGTTCTAAATTTTTTTTTTGCTCATGGAGTAATAACATTTGTGTCCTTTCTGGATGGGTGAGCATCCAACAAAAATACACTTGAATGGTTCTAGGATTAGGTTTTCCTTTCTGTGACTGATGTATGTGAACATAGCCAACACAACTAGAGACCCGGGAAACAAGGTTATTGGAAATTTATACCTCAGAGAAAAAGGAGGCAAGAACTTCCATAGGATTGGAAGGGCCTAATACTCACGATGGGATCTAGTTTACAAGTGGATGGGATCTAGTTTACAAAGTGGATGGGATCTAGTTTACAAAGTGGGTGGTCGTTCTTTTTGTTGTGGAGTATAGACACGAGAAGACTCATGAACAATTCCTTCTTTTTGAAAGAAAGTTCAATTTTTTTTTCTCTTTTTGAAAGGAGGACATTTTCTGGTCAAATTAACATTGGACATTATCGGTTCTGAAACGTTTAATTTTTATCCCAATTTGTGTATGTCATAGTGTATACAACTGGGGAAAAATATGACTGACTTCACCTTTTGACTTCAATAAAAAAATCTAAGTTACCCGAGTACAATAATCAATAAGATAAGCTGTTGAACTCCAAAAATATTAGTTATATTCCCAAATGTTGCTGCGAATTAATATAAAAGGAAAACTACTTATTTTAGTACTAAGGGAAAAAATTACACTTTGGTGTTTTGCCAATTCACATACATTACCAACGATGAGGTGTCTAATATAGGACCCCTGGACTTTTTGACTAGACTTGTTTAAGTGCATTGTCAAACCAATACAGGACCCCTGGACTTTAGTGCTTATAGCAGATATTATTCGGTCCATTATGGAGACATGCCCACTTATCTTTCTTCATGGCTACTCACCAGATGCACCTATTAAATTGATATTTATTTCCCACAACATCCTCTTTCTAAGCCCCCCTTTTGGTTCCATGTTAATACATATTACTTGCACTTTTTATTTAAAAAAAAATCCTCTTTCTAAGCCAACCATATCTACTACCCAATAAGTTCCCTATTTGCATATTGATACTAAATCTAAAATAACAATTTGTAATGCAGATTATATGATTATTTGGGTTGTGCAGTGTCGGACCAAGGAGTTTATTACTGGTGATTATGTCATAATTTGAACTAAAATTATTCTCCTTGAGATGTAGATCTTTTTTTTTTGGTTTGGGAAAGCTTGGACCTAATACTTGTTACTTAGTTTATTACCTAGTTTTATGAATATTAATTGAGTTTTCATCATCGAAGATTTGTTTGTTAATTGAGATATCTCTGAGCCTCTTACTTTTTCTCTTAGTACTCTTGCAAGTACTTAGTGTTGCTTTCTTTTCTTGTGAAGCCTCTTGGGGTCGCATTCTGACAGTGGACAATTTTGAAAAAAGGGGCTGCATGATTGTCAATTTGATGTCTGCAATGCACTGCAGCCATCTTCTTTGTTGGTGTCTTTTGGGAAGGAGGCAAAGAAATTTGGCTCTTATTATTTGGGGATTTTGTGGGCAATCAGTGGGTTCATTCAAGCAAGTTTATTGGCTTGAGATATTTTTTCAGCTGCAAGCAAGAAAGAAAATTCCTCACTTTCATCCCCCATGCCATTTTCTGGTCCATAAGAGATTGTTGAGGTGTCTAATCTAATTTTTTAGTTTGAGGGAATATTTGTTTCGAACTCTTTGTATTTTGATGGGTGATNCTCTCATTCAATTGAGTGCTTAAAAACCTGTGGTCATGGTTGTTGTCAATCTTTGTTATTTTGGATTGGATATGTTTTTTTCAATCTTCTCATCTCTCTTGACCCTAGTACACTGTGCTATGTAACATCTTCTTGGTGCCTCTGTTTATAACAATTTTGTTTTTCTCTCAGATGTTGCTATTTTTTGTTGTTGAATAAATGCAAAATCAATTCAACATTTTGAACCAAATTGACGAAATATAGCTAACTTTTGATATCATGCTTACAGTAAATTTATTAGCGACATTATCATGTCGGTATCATCTTTGATGGCTACACGGGAACGAGGTTCTGAAAGTGCACGTTTTGAGCTATTGAATGCACAATACAGGTAACTGGTTCTATTAATAATTTTCTTGTCAAGCAATTGAATTGTCTACTGGATATCCCTGTTCCTATAATATATCTTTGTTCAATTTGTCATCTGTTACACCTTGATTCCATTGGATATCCATGACTAGATGCTTCCAATTTAATTGTTAATAATTTTCTTGTCAAGCAATTGAAGTGTCTAGGAGTGTTTTTGGCCTCCTTGCAGGCTAAAGCACAAATTGGTTTTCATTGGATATACCTTTATCTACTTTCTAACAGAAATTGGAGGCTATTCTGTATTTAGTGTATCCCAGTTCTTTTCCTTGCTTAGTTTTTTCTTCTCATGTGTGCGGAGGATGCCTTATTCTTAAATATAAATCTCTTCTTTATTGAAAAAAGAACATTGTTCAGGAAATTCCTAAATTATATTTCAGCCTTAATTTTACTTTACTTTTAAAAATTCCTTCTTTATGATGCTTCTAAATTCTTGAGTATAGTGTTAATTTTTTGGGGTAATCTTTAGAGAATCTGTTTACCATCACTGGCAACTTGATTTCTGGTGGTGGAATATCTAATAAAAGAAAGAATTTCCAGTACTATACTTCTGATTAATCATGTAACTTTTTACTGACATATATAAATTGTCTTTTTTTATGTAAAAAGAGTTGTATCCATTTCTTTTTTGTGCTTACTATTTTTTGGTCTCCCTGCCATAGCATCATGTTGTGCATTCACTTATGTATTTTCTTTCTTCTTAGTCTGTCTTTAAAATTTGAGATCCCATTTCTGTCCTTGTTATACAGTGCTGTTGTAGTGAGAAATGAAAATTCTAGCATTCACATTGATGCGGTTATTGATCCCTTGAGCCCATCTGGGCAGAAATTATCTTCGCTTATTCGAGTGCTGGGGAAACATGTCCAGCCCAGTATGCGGATTGTATTGAACCCGATGGTAAGTCATTGCTGTATCATTTCACTTTTAATGTGCAAATTGTGTTAATTAGATGTTTGGAACTGGAAGAAGAGGAATAGCATATTTGTGTGACAAGATAACTGTATTCATAATGTTGTCAAAAGGGTCTGTCAGTGTAGAAAAATGCTAACTAGCTTCATTCTAACTTCAAGTTAAAATTAGTCAACAGTTTTTCTATATTTTGGCAACCTTGATAATTTGAACTAATGTTCCCATTTTTCCAAGACCTGGGTAAGACATTCAGAATAAAGTAATAAGTGACCTGTATTTATTTGTCCATTACATTAACTACATTTTTCTCCTTACCTGTTGCCTAACAAATATTTTGGTGATAAGTTTCATGCATTAACAATTTAGTTTCTTTTGCTATATTGGCAGAGTTCACTTGCTGATATTCCTCTGAAGAATTACTACAGATATGTCTTACCAACAACGGTATATGTTTGATTTTAGAAAGTTCTATATTTAATAATTATCAGTGACTCATCTTCACTATGGTTTTTGCAGGATGATTTCAGTAGTGCTGATTACACAGTAAATGGCCCTAGAGCATTTTTTTCAAATATGCCATTGTCCAAGACTCTGACAATGAATCTTGATGTTCCTGAACCATGGCTTATTGAGCCAATTGT